GTCTCTGTAGAATCCAAGGCAAATTAACACAAAATGGGAAACCCTTCTAGGGTTATGTAGAGGAGGATGAGGGGAACAAAAAGTGTTCCAAGCTTCAAGGTCTAAGGTGAGTGGAAGACCCTCAAAAATTAAGGTCAAAGCTTAAGGCTTTAGGCTCCATCCATGGAGGCTAGGGTTTTCTTTACAAGAGAGGGAGGAAATGAAAAATGATGAAGATGATATGTGAGTGGAGGGGATAGAGATCCTCCATTCACTATGTGCTCTTACACTACCTCTCACACATACACTAATGCAAGATCAAATTGTGAACCTACACTTGCCACTCATCCAAGCATCCATTGTAGGCTTAATCCTAAGCCTACACTTGTTAACCATCCAAGCCAACAAGTGCACCAATCCTAGGCTAACAAGTGGGTAAATCTTCACCCTCCACATGTCGTCATCCAAGGCATCAAAGTATTTCCACACAAATGTCAACAAGTGGACCAATGCGAGTGTGACACTTGTCACACTTTTCAAAAATTACAAAAAGGTCCTTTTTAAAATATCTTCCAAATTAAATTACAAAATGGTCCCTAAGACGAAAAATAATTACTTTACAGTAATTACACAAAACCCCAAAAGTTAGGAAAATTACAAAAAGGTTATGCGTCTATACCCTTTACAAGAAAAGTAAGCACTTAGCATGCTTTTCTACAAAAGTGAAAATTCACATAGTATGGAATTTAAATATCGTGGATGCATGCAAAACCGGAATCAAATCCAAATACAAAAAGTGAAGTTATGCCCACAAGGTGACAACCGAGAAAATGACGAAAGTAAATAGTGTCACAAAAGTGAAAATGTGAAAATGAATCGGTCCTCAAAGGAAGTCGTCAATTCAAGGAAAAGAGTCTCGGAAACCATCCCCGAGCACATAAGATGACATTAAATGGCGAGAAACCGAACTCAGAAAGAAAAAGATCAACGGAAAAAAAATATCCGTGAAAATATGAGAAAAGGAAAGGAAATAACATGACCGAGTCATTACATAACATATATATTAAAATGACTCATATGATTTTGTCTAATGACATGTTCATTTTAAACATTTTGAATCTTCTGTGTGTGTGTTTTTCTTTCTTTTATTTTTTATTTTTTATACTTTTTTGTCAATTCTACCGAGAAAGATTTTAAGTGAAATCTAATTTGATACTTTTGAAAGCAGACACTTAAACACGTGAATGATTTAGGGTAATATTCATCATTTGATCAACTAAATCTTCATAGTCTACTTCAAATTATAGAGATTGATAATAAAAAAATAGAGTTTTCTTTTTGCCTTCATAAATTCAGATTTAAAGGAAATGAGGAATCAGTCACATTGTGAAGGAATCAAGCTATACATAATCTACTAGGAATCCTTTTATAACGATCAAAGGAGTAAGTTGATCTGAAGTGTAGAGCATTTGAACTGGAATTCGCAATGCGAGAAATGCTCATCAATTGGTTTTTGGTAGAGCGGAGTGGGTGTGGGCCTGAATTAGAGTCAAAGTCCATTACTTAAAGTACATCACACTTTATTTCGAATATAATGGATTGTTTCGCTTGAAACTACGTGAGAGTATCCAAGATTTTCTCTTAATTGATTGAATTTCTCCGATTAAGATTTCCTCGCTAAAAATCATGGTGTTATCTCTCAAACTTTACTTTACTTGTTTTACTCTATTGTTCATATTTTGTGGTTGTGAATATGTAATTGTTAATTGTTCTGAGTTATTTATTTAATCACAAAAATCAAGTAAGTTGATCTATTCACCCATCTAAGGTCATTGAAGCATAGTTTTTAACTAAATTTACATATTAGCTTTGTATCATATAACTCACCAACGTGAAAATATAAAAGATAGGGAAAATATCACTTACCTCCCTCGAGGTTAGGCCCAATTACACATGGTACCCCTAACGTTTCAAAAATTACATCGACTTCCCTTAAGATTTGCTCCGTTGTATCACTTTGCCCCTTCTAGTAAAACTCAATGCCGGTCAATGATGATTTTTTATGACATAAACCATTTTTTAGCCTGAAATACCACATTTACCCTTAATATAGTTGGAAGGACATTTCAATCCTTACTTTTGTTTTGAAATAACTATAACGACTCCAACCCGTGGGTCCGAATCGCTAACCGGGTCCTTACCGAACCCGAAAACACTTAAGGGTAAAACGGTCAATTAGGGTATGAAGATTAATTATATAATTCTAAATGAGTCCAAATAGGTCAACATAAGTCATAAAGGTCTTTTGAACCCATGACGCAAAGTCCTGGACCTAAGAATGAGGATTCCGCACAATTGTGCCTTTCATTTTTAAGGAATTCCGGAGCAGTCCACACTAAAAAGGTCGTAAATCTCTCTACAATTTGAATTTTTGAGTGAAATTAATTTCATTGGAAAGCTAACTAAAAATACTTGAAATTTGACTTGAGAATGAACCCATTTGGATTTGAACCGAGAAGTGATAGCCATTCAAAGTCTGAATTTAAAAAAAAAAAAAAAAAAAAAAAAAAGGGAGTCGGCTCCCATTTTGGATAGAGCCGCCTCCTTTCTGCAGAAGGAGCCGGCTCCACTCCAAAGGAGCATGCTCCATTCTAAAGGAACAGGCTCCACTTTAAAGAGCAGGTTCCATGTTACGTTTTTTTATGAAATTTGGCTTTTGGACCAAAAAGAGTCGACTCCCAAAAGGGAAGAGCCGGCTCTCCACCTGGAAGGTCTAAAATTTGGTCACTGCAAGTGCATAGAACCTTGGGGACCTCATTGGCATCCACCATGGACTTGAAATAAGCTTTAAACTCAACCCAAAACATCCTATAAACCTGATATAAGGCTTAAACATGAAAATTTCCAAAAATACTTGTAAGGAAAAGGTGTGGGTAACATTCAATTTGATTCAAAATGGCCTCATGGCCTCTTTATACATCAATTACAAATTTACACCATGAATCCTACATAAGAATAAATGGCATGCACTAATTTAGTTTTTATTAAAACACTTAATTAAATTAAACCAGATAATTAAATTACTTAAGATATGCTTGAACTAGCCTCTGGACCACTTGTATTTGCAGCTTTTGAAGAACTTCCCTTTTGGACCTTATTTGTATTTTTTCAACATGTTCTTTTGTTATGTCCAAGAGCATTACAAATCATGCATCTTATAGTCATTGACCTTCTCACTTGACTAGTCCCTGCTGCAGGTTCATCTACATCTCTTCTTCTATTTTTCTTTGGCCTGCCAGGCCTTCTATAAGATGGAGAAGGATCAAGTGGATCACCATAAATAGGTGGTGTAATACCCTTAGTTTTGAAAGGGATATAATCAGAATTTTATTATTTATTTTGTTGCTTTCAATATTTATTTTATTATTTTTAGGTGCTTATGTGGCTATGTGTGCAATTTGAATTACTTGATGTATGAATTGATTGGTTGACTTAAATAGATTATTTTTTTTCTTGTATTTTTAATTGAATTAATTAAAATTGTTATTTAATTGGCTTGTATGTTTAAATGGATTAATTTAGTAATTATTAATTTTAATATCAATAAGTTAAATGAGTTTTTGGTTATTACGTTAGTTTACTAGGGTCTCTAGGAAGACAGTGTGTTTAACCAACATAGATAAATCTTGGTTGCTTTATGGGCCGACTTGGGGTAACATTAGGGCTCTGTCTCTAATATTACAAGGATTAGGGTTTTAGGATTAAGTCTATAAATATAACCATTATGCTGTAACCTATGATTTACGCTCATAACCCATAGCACAAAAACGTGAAGTTAATTCTGTAAAAACAGAGGGTAAAAGGAACAGAACACCGTAAGGGTTGGCAAAGAGAAGAACAGAGGGGACCAAGGTGGGATTTTGGTGGATTATTCTAGAGCACTAGGAGGCTGTACAGTGGTTCGTGTTGCCAAAACAGTGGACACGACGCCGAGATTTCATAATTGAAATCAAAGGCAAGTTCTATTCTCTCTCTCTCCCTTTGGCCTGTGTTCTGTGCATTCGTAGATGTTCTCTAGGATCTTAAACGGATATTAAACAGATCATGCATGCTTAGTATAGCTTAAATTAACTATCTGTATGCGTTAGTGTTAAACTGAAATTGTTCTTGTAAGTTTGGTGTCACTTTATTCTTTGAGCATATGAAATCTGTAAAGATCTTTATGTCTGTAATTGATCTGGACTTTTGTGAACAAGTCATGGGGATGAGATAGGGTACAAATAGGACTCTTAGGTTCAGTATTAAGGTGAACAGAGGGTCGAGAATGGTCGGAGACGAAGCTGGTAGTTAATCGACGGTCGAAATCAATTATAAATCAACCCTCTTCGCAATAGCACGAATCATTGTAAAATATGGCTATTGGACGGGTAAGTCGAACCACTGGGACTGCGCTAGTCTTAAGGCAACTTAAGTACTCAGAGTCATTTTAGAGTGATGAGGGGTTTATAAAGGGTTTGTGTGTTTGTCACTAAACTAAGAAATTAAATTGCATAAAACAATAGATTGCAATGAAATTGAAGAAGTGAGATACAAGTAGAAAAGACTAGGGAGATGAATTCACTCAACCCTATACACATGCTAGATTAAGATTAAATTAGGGAAAAACAACACAAATGATGGTCATGATACATGGCAACACTTGGTTGTTATAGTATTTTCAAGAAGTTCATTAAATCAACAACAAGAATAATCCATCAAAGGTTCACATACTCAAGCCACCTAAACTAGGGTGTAGCCTTCACATGCTCCCTAAGCCCAAGATTATCAAGTCCTTAATGGAATGATGAAAGCACATAAAATTAGGAATTAAGCATAGACCATCAAAGGGGGATCCTAAGCAATGGACTATCTAAGTTCTCCAACTTCAAGTCAATAAAACCATTTCATGATCTAACTTCCATTGTCACTATGAAAGTGTAAGCATTATGATTAAGAGAAGTAATCATCTAAGACAAGAGGAATAACTCAAAATAATTATGTATAGACATTAAAGTTCATTACAACAAATATAATGCTCTAGATCATAAAATAACCAAAAACTATACATTGTTCTCCCCAAAATAAAATCTACACTAGCACATGCTTACAAGGGAGGAGCTTCATCACCTCCCTAGATGGAGGTTTAGCTCTCCATTGATACAAAAATGGAAGAAGAAGAAGAAGGATCCATCTCCATTTTCGAGCTCCTACTGTAGCACTCAAGAACACCCTCTTCCTTGCTCTCTTCTCTCTCCTCTATCTTGTAAAATGAAGCTTAACATCTATGTGGTCCTCCCTCTCTCTTATCAAGCTCAAGTCAAGGCTCTCTCTCCTCCAAGGAACACCTCCAACCACTTCATAAAGAAGGAAGATGGCATTGAGGAAACCAATGTGCAAGTGGCTGAAATTGAGCCATTTCCGAGTGCAATCTGCCAGAATTTCGAGCACTCGAAGGGTGGTCTCGAGCACTCAAAATTAGTGTAATGAGCAACATGCTTACAAGGGAGGGGCTTCATCACCTCCCTAGAGAAGATTTAGTTACCCATAGGAGCAATGGAAGAAGGAAGAAGCTTGAAGACCTCCTCCATTTTCGTGCTCCCTTCTTCAAGCTTGAAGAACTCTATCTCCTTGCCCTCTTCTCTCCCCAAAATCTGATCCAAACTAGCTTAGGAGATGTGTGGCTCTTATCCCTCTTATCTACCACCAAACTAGGCTCTCTCCCTCCCCCCTAGGAACATCTCCAACCACCTCATAAAGAACGAAATCAGAAAATGAAGGAACCAAGAAACAAGTGGCTGAAATAGTGATTTTTCGGAGACAAACTGCCCTAAATTCGAGTGCTCAAATTTGGGCCTCGAGCACTCGAAAATTGGGCAGAATGCCTATTCTCCATTTGCCCCGCCCGGACCTACTTTGATGAAATGGTCATAACTTTGCGCTCTGAACTCCGAATGACAAACTGTTTGAAGATTTGGAGAGCTAATTCAGAGCTTTAAATACTTCATGTTTTAGTGGAGATCCAATTCTCAAGGATGGTTGGTCGAAAATGAAGATCAAGACAGAATTTCATTGCTGCCAGGCAGTTCTGCGCATCTCTGGTAATAAGGCCATAACTCTCTGCTCCGAGCTCCGAATGACAAACCGTTTGAAGATTTAGAAAGATAATTTAGAGCTCTAAATATGCCATTTTATAATGGAAGTCCAGATCTTGAGCTTTCTGGGTCAAAAGTGGCAATCAAAATTGAGTTCCACTGCTGCCTGAAATTCAGCTTTTGAGCACATTGTTGATCAAAAATCCACAACACCTTATTTTTGCTCCTTTTGGGCCAAGGAACCTGAAAATGCATAAAAACATAGAAATTAAGATAATCTACATAAATTAACATACAACGGACTTTACTAATGCAATTTAGAGCGCTTGAATATACAATATTCGGCGTTTATCAGTAGTCAGACGGAGCATCAACGGAAGAGAAAGGCTCTTAAAGAGGGAGAGCCGGCTCTGGAATGCAAAGAGCCGGCTCCCCCCATTGTAGAGCCAGCTCTAGGAGAGTTAGAGCCGGCTTTACCCTTCTAGGAGGCGGCTCCATGGTTTTTCAGAGCCTGCTCTCAAGTTCTGAGAGCAGGTTCTCTCCTATTTTGATGTTTTCTGAGGTTTTGCGCACTGTTTGGGTTCAAATTGGGTTTTCTGAACTGTGTTGGGTTAGGGAGAGGTTTTTAAATATTAATTCATGAGGTATTAAAACCCTAGGATGCAATAATTTATTTATACGTTAATGTTTTAAACGGTATAAAAATTTAAAACAAATTGCATGCTGTTCACGGATGTAACGGATAGGAAAACTAGATTGTTAAATCGTGTTTTAAAAACTTAACGGATTGTAGCACGGATTCTAAATATGACATTTTAGAACTCACATTGCCTAATAAAGGGCTTGGTACTCTTGGACTTAACAAAATGAAGGTTTAACTGATCTTACTTATAGATAATGGATGGACTGGATTAAATAATTAGCTTTGTTGAAACAAATTTAATGTACTGAAGTATGATTCATAAATTATGTTCTGGACACATAATAGGGTCATATAATTGTCGGACTTGGTTTGTGCTTACTTTGGTTGATAATTGCTGAGATGCTATACCTTAATCTGCAATTACAGTTTCGGAATTTAATTGCTGAATTGCTAAACTTTATTCTGCAATTACTGGGATTAGTATTTTGGAATTTAAATTGATGAACTTTTAAATCTTGTCTAATCAATTACATAGTTGGATTCGGGATTTTAAATTAACAGACAATTAAACTTTATCTCGTCAATTTCATAGATATTATTTTGGGATGATAGTTGATGAACTGTTTAAATTCTGTTTTATCAACTATTTGGATTATGTGGATTTATTTGATGTTCTAATGATTGTGTATCATTTACTGATCATATGCATGGTATGTACGGGTATGGGACGGTGACATACGGAAGAACGGATTAGATCAAAACGCTAATTCCAACCCAATCATACATACGGAATGGATTAACTAAAATAATTAAATCCTACATGGTTTCATGTCCTGTCAACTAAAACAGTTGAACGACATACTGGATGGTTGTTTATATTTCTGTATTAGGAAGGATAGGGTTTTAACTAAAACGTTTAAATCCTGATTACATATTGTGTCTTGAGCAATGAACTGTTAACCGGCACAACATTGTACTTAAAGGTAACTTATATATATAATTGGGATAGGGATTTAATTAAAATATTTAAATCCTAATTTTATCATGGCAACGACAGTTGAGCGGCACTACATTAGTTTGGATGGGAATTTATATATATAAATTATGATACCGCGATCTGAGCTTGAGTCTCATAGTCGACGATTAGGGTGCGTATATGCAATAGGATGCGTAGCTAGCTATGTTGGTTGAGGTATACCCTGTTAGGCTTAGGTAGTCATACCCACTCAGGTGCGTATTGCGTGTTGCCTTCTATTCAGGTTGAGACCCTCAGCATAGTTTAGTGAGAGTCTTGTAGTGTGGATATATATTTATCTATTACGGACTATATAGATATGGTTGAGACATCTAGGATGTATCTGCGTATCGGGTCTCTGTTTGGATTATTGTTAGGATAGAACTTATTCGTGGGCCTGACCCACTATTATTTTTTCAGGTAACGGACGGTTCCAGGTCTTAGATCTTGTTCGTGCTGAGCAGAGACGGCTTCTCATTCTTCTGACGACGTAGGAGCTTATTCATGATTTAGCAGTGGAGTTCTTCAGTTGATGATTTCAGTGTTGGAGTTTCTAGGGGTCCACCAGATGGATTCCCGAGTTGTATTAGAAATGGAGAATTTGGATGTATCAGAATAATTCTTTATTAATTTAATTTTATTCTGAGATTTCAGTATTTGGATTAGCATTCTAGTTTCTTTTCAGCAAATTTTTATTTATTCCTGTTTCCTTAATTATATTCTGTGTTCGTTTATTGTTAATTGGTTTGATATCCTCGAATAATCGGGCGTGGGCCTGGCCAACCTGCATCTGGAAATCTAGGGGTATCACAGGTGGCCATCGTTTTGAGTCAACTATGGGATGTATCATTCCCCCATGAGCTTCCAAATAAGCATCCTTACTAAAATTTTCATCACAAAATAGCTCAATATTCATTCTTTTGTAAGCCATTGCAGTAGCTGCATGCTTGTAGGGGAGGCCAGAAATTTGCCATCCCTACATACACAAATCCTAGCACCAAGGTCTACCATAGTTGTACCAGTTTCATCCATTATTTCATATTCATTCCTTCCAGCAAAGATGACATTACATTGTCTAGACTCTTCTATGAGTTAGTTTAACCTCTTCCTAAATGAGTCACCACTGTTTGCCAACTGCATGCCACCTCATACCTCTTTTGAATCCTACCCATCAATTGCATCCTAATCCATTCTAACATGTTCAGAATTGTATTATTTTTTTGTGCACCAACCCAATTGTTAAATGATTCACTTAAATTGTTTGTGACATGATTCTTTTTCATATTTTCATCAAACCCATGCCTAGACCATGATGATACAGGCAATTCCATCAAATTATTATACCCTTCTTCTATAAGATTCCTCAAATGCCCCATGGCAATATCAAAGTCAACTTGGTTGTAAGCTCTTACAGCCCTCTAAAAGTACTTCCTCAACAATAAACCAGGTTACTTCTTTTTAAAATTATTAAATAAATGTCTGCAGCAATATCTATGGTGGGCCTTAGGAAAGATATAAGAAATTGCAGAATCTAGTCCCTATATAAAATAGTTAAAACAGTGTCAACAGTCAAATTTACCAAAGACAATAAAAAAAAAAAATATTAAATAACATTTAATATGAAAATACCTTTTGTTGATCAGACATGAAAGACCATAGGTTGTCCTCAAAATCTTTGCCAATCATAATCTGTAGATGTGTTAGAAAAAAACCCCAACTTTCCCTTCCTTCACTTTCCACAACACCATAGGCCACTAGGAAAAAGGCCATTGTTGCCATCTAGTGCAGTGGCTGCAAGTAGAACACCACCATAGGGTCCTTTCAAATGGCAGCCATCTAGACCAATAAATGGTCTACATTCTTTCTTCAAACCAGTGGCCAGTGCCTTAAAACAGATGAAAATTCTGTTAAAGACTGGGTACATATACAAATTTACCCTAAACCTCTTAATTTTAGCCAAGCTTCCTGGATTTGTTTTATCAATTTCATTTGCATAAACTGGAAGTAATGTGTAAGCTTCAGCATGATCACCCTTAATTTCCTCTAGTGCCTTCCTCTTTGCCCTATACAACTATATTCTACTAGGTTTAATTCCATATAATGTCTTCACTGTAGCTCCCAAAGATGTTATTTTAATCTTAGGATTCTCTTTTATCCTATCTGCAAACTTCATAGCAATCCATGTTGATGTTGCTTCCTTAGTGTAACGACCCATTCTACCACATAGTATGATATTGTCCGTTTTGGGCCTGAGCCCGTACGATTTTGCTCTTGGGCTTTACCCTAAAAGGCCTCATACCAATTAGAGTGACACACCTACATATAAGCACTTCACCTTTCCCTTTTCCAAGTGATGTGGGATTGTGCACCCGTAACTCGCCAGTGTGGTAGCCTGTCAGTGTCTCGCACCGGCCCAAGGCACACCCTCCCACAGGGTCATCACAATCCACTGATGTCCCCGTCGGCACACTTCCGGCTGGGTCAGGCTCTGATACCATTTGTAACGACCCACTCCACCATATGGTATGATATTGTCTGCTTTGGGCCCGAGCCCGCACGGTTTTGCTCTTGAGCTTTACCCCAAAAGGCTTCATACCAATTAGAATGACACACCTACATATATGCACTTCACCTTTCCTTTTCCTAGGTGATGTGAGATTGTGCACCCGTAGCTTGCCAGTGTGGTAGCCTGTCAGTGTCTCGCACCAGCCCACGGCATACCCTCCCACAAGGTCATCACAGCGGGTGTGCCATGGGCCTGTGCAAGACACTGACAAGCTACCACACTGGCAAGTTACGGGTGCACAATCTCATATTGTCTGGGAAAGAGAAAGGGAAAGGTGAAGTGCTTATATGTAGGTGTGTCACTCTAATTGACATGAGGCCTTTTAGGGTAAAGCCTAAGAGCAAAACTGTGCAGGCTCAGGCCTAAAGTGGACAATATCATACTATGTGATGGAGTGGGTCGTTACACCTAGAAGTGCTCTCCTTCACACAAGTATGCTCTTTGTTTATTTTTTTAATCTGATAAGTGATTTTTATCAAAGAGAGGTGATACATGTATCATCCATGGGCAACTTGTAACAGCACGATGACATCTTATTCTGTCTTTTTCATTTTTTTTTTTCTAACCATTTTAAAACACTCTTGAATTGCATAATCCCTCAACACTTCCCTAAATTTCTTAATATTGTCAAATAGGTGATCTTTCAGTAGCTCTATCTTTTGTCTTGGAACTCTATGAAATTCTATCCTAAACAAACATTGATCAAAAGTTTTACCCTTAGCCCTATCTTCTTTATCAGTATCACCCAATATTTCAATACTTTATTCTAATCCACATTCATCCCGTGACCCATAATCTAACAAACCATCATCACTACCTATTTGAACTCCCCCCATGGTACCTTTATCTACTAGTCCACTATCACTAAAATAACCTTCATTTTCATCTTCCCATTCCTCATTTTCTGAACTGAAACTAAACATATAATCTCTCTCATCTTCCTCATCACCATCCCTTACCCTACCGCCCCTCTCACCACCACTCACATGACCACCCCTTGGACAACCATCCCTTTCACCATCCCTCACAGCACCATTCCTCTCACATACCATGTTTAAATTTTTAACAATTTTCTAACTCAACATGAACATGAACAATTTTTTTATAATAATTAGTATGCAAGGTAAACATTTGTAACATATCAGCATCACTCTGCATTACCATTTTCTCATGACTCCTAGGCAAATCACAGTGCATGATAATTGAGACTCCTAATTGTGCAGGTAAATTTTCTAAAGACACTTGTAAAACATCATCCATCAAATCAATAAAACAGTACCTATCAGGGTTAACATTATAAATTCCTTTCACAGTGAACTTGTAGTGCACAATAATGTCATGCAATTCAGAATCTGCCATCTGTTTATACCACATAAGAAAAAACATTAGGATACATATAACAAAATCACATGCATATTTTAAAATAACAGCACAATTTTCTCAGTCAACACATATTAATATGGAAAAATCAAAATACAAAAACATTAGGATAACTATAAAAAAAATCCAGTACGTGGAAATTCATTATATATATGATAATCTCAAAAAAAAAAAGATATAGAAATAATTTAGTGAAAATTCATTATATATATAGAATAAAAATTCATTATATATATAGAATTTTTATTCTATATATATAATGAATTTTCACTAAATTATTTCTATATGGTAATTTTCATTAAAATTTTAGAAACCAAACACTGTGAACAACTATACTGTAAAAAATAATAATAATAATAAATAAATAAATAAAAATCCAAATTATGAAACAACTATACTCGTTGCATATATATATATATATATATATATATATATATATAAAGTGATATAAGTGTTGATACGAAAAAAATTATGATGCATATAAAAAAACATATCCAACAACTGATATAAGTGTTGATACGAAAAAAATCTCTGACAATAATTACATATCAGATATAAGTGTTAATTATGTCTTGTTGAAGAACCTATCCAATAATACCCATATTCAAAAAAAAAAAAAAAAAAAGGATGCATATAAAAAAATCCAGATTCAAAAAAAAAAAAAAACAAAAAACAAAAAAAAAAAATCATACTGTAAACAACTATACTCATTACATATTAATATGGCAAAATCAGAATACAAATTAGGCAATATATATATATATATCAGAAACGAAATACTATGAACAACTATAACAAAAACCCTAAAAATCATTGCGAAAAGAGACGTGCATAACAAAATAGCAATGAACAGGAACCTATTATATATCTATAAGGCAAAAACCCTAAGACTTCAACAAGAATAGCAAAACCCGTAATTTTTTTCAAAAAATTAGGCTTACCTTCACCAGCGATGCTTGCTTTTAAAAAAATATTGTATCGATGCCTGCTTGTTGAATGATTATGGGTTATGTAATGGCTAGCAAAGAGAACAGAAGATCAAAGTCCTTAGAAATCTAGGGTTTGAAAGGCAACGCATCAAACTCTTCACCTCTGTGCTTCTCCATCTCTTTCTTCTGTTTCTCTCTTGAACCTGTGTGATATGTGTAAAGGAAATAAAAGGGTTCTGTGATATAAAAAAAGGAAATGAATGAGTTGCCTGATATAATGAATGAAATGAAAGGTTGCAGATGATGGGACTTAGCCGTCAGTTTTTTTCCCTCTAAAACCATTAGGGACAATATAGTAATTTAAAAAAAAGAAGATATTCTTTATGTGATATTAATAAAATATTGAAGGGTGTTTTAGTCATTTAACATGGTCAATGGCCGGAATAAAATGCCGATCAGTTTGGAGGGAGGTCAGTGTAATTTTTGAAACGTAAAGGGAATTGCCTGTAATTACGCCTAAACTCAGGGGAGGTAAGTGAAATTATCCCATTCAATTATTAGTCTAGTTCCTCCAAGTTCTTGGCAAGTGGCAATTCAAGGGCCGACAGTATATACTCTTCAATTACAATACTTTACGTTTTTTTTTTTTTTTTTTTTTTTTTTTTTTTTTTTTTTTTTTTACTTACCCAAAAAAAGTATATACTCTTCAATCTGAAATGCCTATGCTTTTGGGTGAGTGAAATAGAAGGAAACAAATCTTCTCTAGTTACTTTCTCACTGAACGATGTTTAGTGAATTCTAACGGTGGTGATTAACGTCACCTTCCTAACATATCCTTGTCATTATCAAGTCAGCGCTAAATCAGCATGTCAAGAAAAAACAAAAAAAAGTATTAATTGTCGGTGGATTGTTAAGAGTAAGCAATTATGCATCAATGGGATGAAAAGAAGGAAGATAGGGGATAGAGCCTTTTAAAGCTTAACTGAGACTTTTGGTTTTTGAATTTATATAAGTATGAATTTCATTACTTCAAAGGGTAAGTCAATGTGTTTAGGAAACTCTAAAATTCATGGTCCTAAAGTCTTTCAAGGTTTTAGACTTGAGCTTTGTGATTTTTTTTTTTTTTTTTTTTTTTTTTTTTGATAACTGGGTTATTCGGGGCTTTGACTTGTGTAAGGCGATTCCCTACACAAATCGGGTAAAACTCGAACTATATCTGCGATCATGGGTCCAAGAAATTGCTCACATATATATAAAGAAAATCGAACTTAAGATCTGAAACTTAATGAGCCTCCAGAACCAAGTCTTTTTCACTAAACCAACCCCTTGGGGTTAAACTTTGTAAAAATTATATCAAATATTACTTTCTATTAAGTTTAGCTCTCACCATAGCTATACTACCCATTTTCTTCATCTTTGTTTCCAATTCGCTTTTGCTTCTTGACTTGAAGCTTTATGAATTTTTTCCTTTGTAAATAACCTTTGCCATTATCCTTGAGACTTTGATCAGTTCTAAATAGGGAGGGACCGGTGATGGCTCCCATTGATTTTTTTTTTTTTTTTTTTTTTTTTTTTCACTTACTAATTTTGCTTTTTGTAAAAAAAATAATTTATTTAAAAATTTTGAATTTTCCCCCATTAAAATTAAAGAAAAACTCTACTATTGTCTTCCTCAATATTTTTGGTTAAAAATCGTCCCCCCTCACATATTGTTTTGAATCCGTCCCTATTCTAACACATAAAGCCTGAAAGATACAACTCAATTGAAATATTAAATTCACATGTTAATGATTTGATTTTTTTTTTTTTGTTACACATGTTAATGACTTGTTCTCTATCAAAATTACACAAATACTGTTGGTTGTTATAGACTCCATGTTAAGCCAGATCTTGACCCCTTATGGCATACTATTCTTTGTTTTCTTCCAAACCCGCACTATCTGACCATGGTTTAATTTCATTTATTATTACATTGAAGCACATCAGCTTATTTATTGCTGTTATCCACTCTGGTCAACAAGTTTTGAAGTTTAAAATGGTTAGTGAGAAGTGTGTGTGTATGTGTGTGTGTGTGTATATATATATATATATATATATATATATATATAGATATAATGCAATGGTGCATCATTTTGAAGTTTATTGGTGAAAGAAGTAACATGAAGTTGGGTTAATTTTACTAAAACTCTTATCAGGTTTGACAAAATATCATATTAAAATAACTTTAAAAAGATATTATCATTCATACATAAATGTTTGTTCCGTTTTTAACTTACACCGAACCGTTACATAACACCATGTAAAATGACTTTAATACCCTTTGATTAACCTAAATAAATATATTAAAAGACTAAAATATTTTTAAATACTTTGCAAATTTATAATTGTATTATATATATTAGGGTAAAGTGCATTAAACTCCCCTGAACTACTGGGATATGTGCAAGAAACTCCCCTGAATTATAAAAATTGCAAAAAATCCCTCTGAACTATTAGGGTATGTGCAAGAAACCCCCCTGAACTATAAAAGTTGCAAAAAATCCCCCTGAACTATTGGGGTATGTGCAAGAAACCCCCCTGAACTATATATTTTTTTACAGTTTATCCCATCCGCGCGAATTGATTGACTGAAAGGGACGATGAAGCCGAGGAATTTGTTGCTGGGATCGGTGGGTCTCCTGTCATAGCTCCATCATAGCCATTGCACCACCCGCCAGATCCGTCGGCAATATATATCGCACCTCTCTGCACCGTTGCGTCAGCCCATCGCCGTCATCGCCTTGCCCGCCGTTCAGCTCACCTTGCTCGCCGGTCCATTCCATCGTCCATTCCAAGCTCGCTGGCTCATTCCTCCATTTTCATAACCGAGCACACCGCCGTCCGTGTTTCGAGCACACAGCCGTCCACAGTTCACCGCCGAGCCCCCTTGAGCTCACCGCCGCCTCCACAGTTCAGGCCAAGTCAACCGAGCTCTCATCACAGCCAGTCCTCTGCGCACAAGCCGCTATCATCCGAGACCGACCCATTCCGCCGACCTCGGATTTCTTTGGTCTTTTCTCTCTCTCTCTAGCTCTCTGCTTTGGGTTGTGTTGGGTGAAAAATATCTTTTGGCAAAAAAAAAATGTAAGAAGTGTATAAGTTAAAACGACGCAGTGTTTTATAAGGGTAAACCGGTCTTTCAAAATTTTCGGTGCCGGAAGCTGATGTCATGGGGGTAAATTGCAACAAAATCATAATTCAGGTGGGTAAATTGCAACAAAATCATAGTTCAAGGGAGTTTTTTGTAGTTTAGGGGGGTTTCTTGCAAATGACCAATAGTTCAAGGGAGTAAATTGCAACAAAATCATAATTTAGGGGAGTTTTTTGTAGTTCAGGGAGATTTCTTGCAAATGATTAATAATTTAAGGGGGTTTAATGCACTTTAACCTATATATTATATTACACAGTCAAAGCTAACATCCCACCTTTATGGCTTCATGGAATGATAAGCCTCTCCCAACATTTTATTGGACAAAAGTACCCTTATTAAAATATGACACCTTCGCAAAACAATTGACTTTTATGTAATTTCCTATAACCCTATCCTCCCAAATACTCTATCTCGTGTCTACATTATCTTCTATCCTAAACCTAATCCAGACACGCCTCTGTAATTGTCGATGCGTCATCTAATGTCTCCGGTCGACGACAAAATAAAATTCGTAATCCAATGTCTCTGCCCAAGGAATCTTGTTGGCGTTGTCCATTATTTTCGACCAAGTTTTCCTCTGCTGGCGTCTATTTATTCCAGCATTCCGCTACCAATACTATCCTTTTTCCGGCCAAACATTCCTCTGCCAATGTCGTCCATTATTTTTGGCCAAAATCCATAGCCGTTCATGGTGTCTAATCTGAAGCGACAGTGATATATGCAATGTCAATCAAGCCTTCCAAGTTTTCTCTATTTTTCCTTTTCTTTCCAAATCCTTCTAAGGAAAGGAATATGAACCAAAAGAACTGTTTATGGAAAAAATAAGAATAATTAAAATAAAAAAAATATTGGTGATGAAGGGAGAAATTATTTTTTCTTTTATATTCTACATGTCTAGACTTTGTAGAAATGATTAAATATAGGAAAATTTACTCACCTTAATTCCTCCAATTTTGTTAATCTGGAATACCAATTCAGTTCTTTTTAATTTCTCCACAATTCCTTACCCTGAAAAATTATGTTCTTCAATGTCTCTCTCTTCCAGCAACTACATGGAATATTCCCTTTTGAATTACTAATATTTTAGGATGTTGTTTTATGGTTTTACTTTACAAGTGGAGATGTAGATTAGGCCGACGCTGGAAGAGAAGGTGTGCGAGTGACGTTGCCGGCTCTAGAAGAGAGGATGTGTGGGTGAGGGTGAGGGTGAGGGTGAGGGTGATGGGTGATTTCGTCCTTACAGATTTTAAAATAAAAGACATTAAAAATTAAGGATAAAAATGTCATTCCACCCTCATTCTAACGGTGTTAGCGGTGAAAAAGTCGAAAGATGTTTGGAAGTGATATTTAGCCATACCTACATACTTACGAGGATGTAAGTGAAATTAACCCTATAAAATTTATTGGGTAAATAGTCCCTCACAATCTCACATTAAAACAGAGAATCCCCTCCCTCGATGACATTTTAAAAAAAATCATTGGGCATGTTTGGCTAATACTTTTATTTTGTGTTTTTTACTTTTATTAGTGCATGGTAGTAAAGTAAAACACGAAATATGTTTGGTAATATTTTTGTCATTTAAATAGTACCGAAACGCTTCTAAAATTGAGGCCAAAATCTGAAGCATCAAAATAATACTTTTACACGGTAGCAAAATACTGTTAAAAAAATAAAATAAAAAAATCTTTCAAAATTAACATTTTTTACTAGTCATTTAAAATTTCAAATTTGTAATATTTTTTATTAATTATGTTTTTATGTTTTTACTTTTAAAAAATTTTATAATAAATATACGTTGCCAAATAAACTTTGAAACATTATTAAACACGCTTTAAAGCAAAAATACAAAATAACTGAGAAATACGAAACGGAACAGCTATAACTATATAGGGTAAGCCTCTCCTTTTTCTGTTTCTTAGTTTCCTTTCCCCGTTGTCTTGTGAAAAAAATAATAATAAAAAAAAAATAAAAAACTATATAGGGTATTAAATCCTTTTTGGTACGGTTGGTAGTTGGACAGGCTAATTGCTAAATAACTGTGGCAGTGTGTCAGAGGTATACGCTTAGGTCGCGTTTTTCCTTGCCCATGTTCAAACCTTAGCTTGAATGAATGGATTCAAAGCACTCCACCCAACAGTGTGGGATCCACTACAAATTCATCCCCCGCCAATCGCCTATTGGAATAAGAGGGGTGCTAGCGTCAGTCACCTTAACAATAAAATGTGTATCATAATGAATATATATATATTTTTCGGAAATTAATCATAATGAATACTTCCAACCACGTATCTTTTAAGCCCATGTCCTATTCACCCCGGCTACACCTTGTTGAGTTCACACACACACATACATATATTGGAACAAATTAATGTATCTATTTGCATATAAAGAAAATGATTATAATATATTTAATGATACGCTTGAGAGTAGCGTATCAAACATGCAATTTAATTTGAAATTAAAAGAAATTTCGTCTAAATTCAAAATACTACTCTTCTGTTTCAAAATAGAAGTAACTCACCAGACTTATAATTCCCAAATAAAATTTTTAATCTGAGACTGAGGGAGAGGGAGTAATTTAATATTCTGTGTTCTCAAGCACAATATAATTTTTTTTTTAAGATTAGGCTTTGAAATAGATTAAAATTTCTTTCATTGTCAATTTTAGAATTGCTGGAGAGATATGTACAACAACTATTTGTTAAAAGGACACTCAGACGAAAGTTACTTGTTTTTGAGATAATGACACCCCTTGAAGAGTAAAAAGTGGACAAAGGCACCCCTTAAAGTCAACTGGCATGAAAAATTGACCAAATAGCCCTTTAACCATTTAGTTGATATTTGTAACTTTACAAGTTAATAAATTAGACGAAACTACCCCTTATGAACAAACAGAATTATTTACTCACAATTTCTCAAAATAACAAAATTGATAATAAAATTGCATATTTCTTTTGCTGTAAATTTTTTACAAAAAGAAGAAAGTTTGACCAATCTAAAAAGGTGTCTATGGGTGTACTTATATCTGTCAATGTTTGTTCAATTTTGCATTAAAAAAATTGTGAGAGATTATGGATGAGTTATCCAACCTCTGAATGATGTCTTTCAAGAGCTAATTGATGTTACTGGGTGTTACTTCACTGCGTAGCCCACATTGGATTTGCTATTTTAGTTATTTAGTTATTTTTTATTCTGTTTTTATGGTAATAACAAAATTGATAACCCCCATTTGTTAAAAAAAAAAAAAAAAAAAAAAAATTTAATTCCATTCTGCCGCAATTTCTGAAAATAACAAAATTTTGGTAAAAAAAAAAAAACAAAGAAAACCACATATTAGTAAAGAAAGTAGGAACACAATTTTCTTGTAAAGAAAATAAAGAAAACCTGATATTTAGAAAATCGCATAAAGAAAACTCCATATTTTCTTTACAATATTTTTTTGTAAAGAAAACCCCATTTTAATAAAGAAAACATGAACGAAATTTTTGTTAAAAAAAAAAAACCCATATTTTTTTTTTGCAAGTTAATAGATAATATAGTAAATAATGGTAAAAAAAAAAAAAAAAAAAAAAAATACAGGTTTGATATTTTGCAATTCACATGTTGTTAATCTGGCACTAAGTGGCATTAATTTGTGACCCTAAACTTTCATAGGCAATTGCGTCACTTTGACATGTATGATATTTTGTAATAAATCTGAATTGAATATTAAAAGGTAATTTTGTCTTTTTATATGATTTAAGGCCTTGCTTGGATGAAATTTCTTCAAAAGGGTGTCATTCTCCCAAAAACAGATAACTTTTTCCTCAGTGTCCTTTTAAAGAACCTTAAAGGGAGTGACCCTATATATTTTTACAACCTAATGCACATCCAGTTTTTGTCCTAGTAGAAACTTTAGAACTCTTATAGAATGATGAAAGATGGCGGCATTTGAGTTGTTCAATTTGATGCATAAATTCATTGCAATCGATAAATGGGTCTGTTTATTCTCCCTCGTTTTGTATGGATTTGTTTTCACCTTGTTAGGATATTTTCTTGAAAAGCTTATTTGGTCCACTTTTTAAAATTCAGTCTGACTTCAAATAACAAAATAAATCAATATATATAATTCAAAAAAAATTCGGATCACATCTTGAAAATTTTAGAGGACATTTTTTATTATTATTTTTTTTATAATATATACGTGTGTTCTTATATATTTACACAAAATCTATATTTAGAAACTGAGCAAAACTTGTTAGGTACAACATCACCTCCGCTAGTACTTGTGTTTGTGTCTATATATGTATGTTCAGTTTCATTGTAAATTGGCCCAGCAAACACCTCTCCTCTCTCTTTCTTGAAAAATGGTGAGCTTAAAGGGTTCTTACATGGTGAAGCCATTGGAGCAGACACCAAATAGTCTTATGGATTTGTCAGACTGTGACCAGATTCAAGCCATAACTCATGCTCCAACAGTCTATTTCTATCGACCCGCCTCAAAGTTTGATTATACTACCCCAATAGACATCCTAAGAGACTCTCTCAGCAAAGCCCTTGTTATCTTCTACCCTCTTGCTGGCCGCTTGCACTGGATTGACTCCGCAGGCCGCCTCGAGCTCCACTGCAACTCCATGGGAGCTCTGCTGCTCGAAGCAGAGTCCGAAGCCAAAATCGACGACTTCGGTGACTTCTGTCCAACTCCACAGATCAGAGCCCTCGTACCATCCGTAGACTATAGCTCGCCAATTCACGAACAGCCTCTAGTGTTGGTGCAGCTCACCAAGTTCAGCTGCGGTGGAATTAGCATCGGCCTGGGGATATCCCATGTCTTGATTGACGGCCCAAGTGCGTTTCACTTCGTCACCGAGTGGGCCAAAATCGCTCGTGGCGAGCAATCAGACAACCCTCCGTTTCTTGATCGCTCCGTATTACTAGCCAAGGTACCTTTGGCTCCACCAAGTTTTGATCATGTAGAGTTAAATCCAACACCACTCTTGATTGGTCGATCCGATAATTTGGAGGAACGAAAGAAGGAAACTATGGTGGTCATGTTGAAGCTAAGCAAAGACCAAATCGACAAGTTAAAGAAGATAGCAAATGAGGGTAAGAGTAGAGACAGAAACGGCGGTGGCTATAGCCGGTACGAGGCTGTTGCTGGGCACATGTGGAGGTGCGCATGCAGGGCTCGGAAGCTCGGAAGCCAGCAGCAAACGAGGTTAGATGTTGCCATAAATTTCAGGAACCGTTTGGATTTGCCGAAAGGGTACTTTGGGAATGCAATCGCTCGGACGGCAGCGATAGGCATGTCGGGCGAGATTGTGTCAAAGCCGTTGTCTTATACTTCGAGTAAGATCAGAGAAGCAATAGATAAGATGACAGGTGAGTACGTGATATCACATCTTGCTTTTGTGAAGAGCCAAAATGATATGTCTAGGTACCGTAATTTCCACACACTTGGGTGCACCAAAGGGGCTTTCTATGGGAACCCAAATGTTGAGATCACGAGTTGGGCATCTCTACCTCTCTATGGTGCTGATTTCGGGTGGGGAAAGGAGATTCATATGGGACCTGCAGCTATGGGTTATGATGGCAAGTCTTTTATCCTACCCGGCCACGACGACGACGGATCCTTTACCATTCCATTGCGCTTGCAGGTGGCTCATATGGATGCTTTTAGGAAATTCTTTTATGAAGATATCTAATTAACACTTTTAATGGTCAGCCTTCTGACTCATACTGTTAGGTCCCTCCGTTGGTCGTGTTGTCCTTTCTTTCAATCCGGTACATGCACAGCTGGGTAGGTTTAAGATGATTTGAGTACGACAAAGACAAATTTGCTGTACTCAATATTACTCAGATTCAAAGAAACCTTCAGCTAGAGCATCTATATATGCATGGTAAGAGCAGTCTCAGATTCAATGTTTGTCCATTTGATTTGGAATTCAGAAACAATTTTTTGTTTCTTTAATAAAGGATTGAGGTCCACAATTATTCTGATGTCTGCAGCAGGGGCTTGGAGGCTTCCGACATCTGTTGTGGTTGAGGATACCACGTTTATTTAGTTGTTTTGTTGCCTTCTTCGTGCTCTGATTTTTTAACAGTAATGCTATTGTAGCAACGGTTTTTTTGAGTGTTTGGAGTGGGCTGGCTTCTCTTTCGTTGTATGGCTTCGGCCTATGGGCTTGGCGCGTTTTGTATTTTCTGTTCTTTTAATAAACTTTGTTGATTTACCAAAAAAAAGAATAAGAAAAAAGGGTCGAGGTCCTATTCGTTTCTTTAAAATCTACAAACAGGTAAGGAGACTGAGAGAGCACACACCTTGTAAAAATAGAAAAAATCGTACACACACACACATATATATATATCATCTCTTTTTTTGGAAACATAATGACACAAAAATACATAGGGGTAAAAATACAATGACACCCCTAGGTTTAGGATAAGGCTAACCATACATAAGTTGTCACGAATTTCATAATTGACACCACTTGATTGAGGTAAAAATTTAGTTATTGTCCTGCTCTTCTTTGTTTAATTTAAAGTAGTTCCTTGTATTTTTCCTAGACTAGAAAGTTGCCATTTGTATGTGAATTGTTGTTATCCTATTTAATATCCAATAGAAAGCCGTTTTTATTTGTTTATTCTTTCTTATTAACTTGGTGTTTGATGGCCTCCTTCATTTTAATTTTATTTTGTAGGGTTCTTTTCTCCTTTGTAGCCTTCTTGTTTACTCTTTTTAAACCTCACAAACTATTTATTCAGAAAAGCATATCATGCAAGATCGGGAATTTCTGGACGGGCTAGTGTATGCGGGCTGGTGGGGGGCCTGGGTGGCGAGCCGAGCAATGGACTGAACACTATACCCAGGTCCTACCCTATTCTCTTATAGGGATGGGCCAGGCTAGGTTTATACGGGCTCAGACTAGGCTTGGGCTAGCCCGTGGGCTCTGGGTCATTTTTGCAAGTGCACACGGTCTAGTTCCATTCGACTCCAGTTCTGAACCAAATTCAACTGATCTTAAAAAATTAGAAGTTTAGAACTGAGGCTTGAAACCGATCTGTAAAAGAACATGATCTATAATAACTTCTTTTTATAGTCGTAATGTTGTACACTTCTCAACAAATTACATACATTTTTCAACAAAGTAATTTTATTTTTCATCGTATTACAATTGATTGAATAGTAGCTGCACTTCTCATAATCTTTCGCAACCGTGTCTCACATCAGTGTCATATCACAATATATTAAAAAGTATTCCTTGCATGCATCCAACATCTGGCTAACATTGTTGTATCAATTTCTACAATTGAAGAGCTCAAGGTTAATGGTTAACAGAGATTTTTTTTCTTTTTCTGAAAGGCAGTGGTTAACAGTCTTTAAATAGAACTGAAGGGGGATTTTGTTGCACCATGGAAAAATGGTCTTGTATCACATCAACGTTGGATCCGAGTTCACAATCAGATTCCGTTGTTATTCCTTGTTATTGTGGCATACATGCATCCAAAATCAGATTCAAAATTTCAAATTTTTTTCCTTTCCAACCGAACTAAACATCAGTATAGAATAATAATTAGTTATTGTGGTATACTTGCGCACAATAAGATATTGGATGCGCCGGTGCACAATATATTAGGCTCATCCGAACCGTACATGCACAACACTTATGACTTGAATAAACTCAGTGCACTGGAAGCACCCGATATTTATTCCTCGCACACCACTCACACGATAATTGTGAGATTCAATATATATTCCTTATGCACCACTCACACAATAATTGTGGGATTCACAATAATACAGTAGGCTCACAACCTAAATCATACATTACCGTCCTTAATTATATGCAACTCACTCAACACAACATATATGTAGCAAAATAATTATTCTTTTTATCTTTTCTATTTTCTGAAAGGTATCATAAAACCTTTCACATTTTTTAATAAATTTTTAAGGATAAATTATAGTTATCTCCCCTAAGGTTTAGACAAATCTAACATGGGTGGAACGTTTGAGATTTATTATTCTCACTCCCCTTAAGATTATAAAAAGTCAATTATACCCTAATATATAATATATTTTCGTAATACAAAATATATTGTAAAATCTTAAAAAATTAATTTTCTATCTCATCTTTCTTATTACTTTCTATCTTCTCTCCACCATCATTACCCCTTTCTAAAAAATATTGTAAATAAATTAAAAAAATATTGAGTCTAAGGGTAACTTGATAATTTTATATATTCCTTCCGTCCTATAAATAGTGTCACTTTTAAAAAATTGTGACTCTCACAAATTGAATTGACACAGTTTCTTAAATATGATATTATTTTTGGGACGGAGGCGGTATATATTTTTTACAAGTTTTGATGAGAGGGAGTCCAAGCAATAAATTTTAAATGCTCAGTGAGATTTGTCTAAATATTAAGAAAGGTAAGTTTACCCGTTTCAATTTAAATTACAACATCAAGGGCTTTTGCAACGCGATCCAATAGCTGACGTAGTGTTGACAACTTGACAGACCTCTGTTCTGTTGCAAGCAGAAAAACAAACCCCATCTAAATAAACCCTCTCAAAATCCAATCTTTCAAATAATTGAAATTAGGGTTCTTATAATTTTGTTACCCTCAAACTCAGTCGATTTCTACTCTCTTGGTTCAGTTTTGTTGGGAATCATGGGCAATGCATCTTCAATGCTTACTCAATATGACATCGAGGAGGTCCAAGAACACTGTAATAACACCTGTAAGCACATATACTCACACACACACACATATAATTTTATTTTTGTAATGCTGGAGATTTAGGGTTCTTTGTTAAGTGTGGGTTGATCCTTTGTGCTGCAGTTTCGCAGCAGGAGATAGTGTCTCTCTATGAGAGGTTCTGTCAGCTGGATCGCAACGGTGGTGGCTTCATTTCCGGCGAGGAGTTTTTGTCCGTACCCGAATTCGCCGTCAATCCTCTATCTCAGGTTCAAAGTCGCTTTTTTTTGGGGTCCACAAATTCGTACTATGCACGGATTTGAAGATTTATAAACATGTCGACCATATTTTCAATGTTTTAAAAAGGTCTCAAAATTAGGTTGGGTTTTGGAGCTCAAATGGCCCCTACATGATCGTTATTTATGTATACAGATACACATATACATTGGCTTCATATATATGTACTTTAGATTTTATTTTTTTGTTTTCCAGAGATTGTTGGAATTTGTGTTGTAGTCATCTTTAAGGTCTATGATTGGGATGGCAACGGCAAAGTCACATTCAGTGATATGTTGGATGTTTTGCGTGATTTGACGGGGCAATTTATATCTGAACAACAAAGGGAGGTTGGCTTCTATTTTTGTTGTATTGGGTCGGATTTTCCTTTACCTTTAATTCTGGTTTATGAGCGAAATTTCTGAAGCAATATTATAATAAAATTCAAACATAAGGGTTGATATTATAACTATGGTCTCAAAGAGAAAATGATTAACTCATCTGAACTAAATCATTTAGCTGTTCTTGGAAATTCATCCATGCCCAAATGATGATACTAATGAACGTAGTATGTGGAAAAAAAAAAAATTTCCCTACACCAACCAGAGCATCATGCTTTGTTTGGTTGATGAAGAGTAACATGAAGAGAAACGGAAACTTACGTTTTAATTTAACTCTTAAAGAATAGTGAAAAAAGAAAAGTAACAGGTTCTCCAATATTCGTAAAACATAGCAAATGGTTAAAATTGTTTCGTTTGAGATCATCTTGGAAAATTTTCTTCATCATATTGTTTTCTCCTTTCTCCCAATCATCCCAAGATCCAAAGAAAGTGTTATAATTTTTGCTATTGCCACTTTGATCTTAGTTTGCAATAAAAATCCAGTTTTCTTATTTCTGTGGCTCTTTGTATGTTGTTTCTGCAGTTGAACAGAATATACTACTCATTTTGTTCAACTTCTAGGATGCAATTTTTTTTTTTTTTTTGTGAAGAATCCGCAATATGGAACTTTACAGTTATACAGGAAAAGAGAAATGGTTTTCTCTAAATGGGCTTAAGTTTTCATTGGTGTTAGGTTCAAATTTTATTAATACAAGTCTATTGAGTTGTCTTAATAGTTTCAGTTGGTCTTTCAACTATTTGAATTAGTGTGGGATTACTGGATCAGTCACCAAGTTCTTATCTTGGGATTCCTCAATGGTTAAGTTTCCTATGAAGATTATATTCGAATTGTTGTTGGTAGCGAGTGACAATGTTGTATACTAGCTGGTGAGTTAAATTGACTAAAGGAAAAAAATGTAAGACTAATGGATCCAATTTATAAAGTATGTATCAGTCAAACAGTAAAACTTTTTTATTTTTAAAATTCAGAACTCTAATAGAAGTTGGTTAAAGGACTTGAAAGTGGGTAGTACTCATGATTAACGATTGAGGATGCTCAACATGCTATGTCGATATAATTATTGCATGGTTTGTAGACAATGAGAGTTGGTGCTAACATACATATTTCTGGTCATGTTCTCTGTTTGCACAGCAAGTTCTGACCCACGTTCTTGAGGAAGCTGGATACAAAACGGATTCTTCGTTAGTTGTGTCTGACTTTATGAAGGTAATATGAGTCCATATCAACCTTACGTAATCAATAAATTTTGAAATTTTAATTATTTATGTGTTATATTAGTTGAATATAAATTTGTAGATATAAACACGTATGTGTATTTCTCATTTCTCCTTTATTGTTTTCATCTCTTACTTGTAAATATCAAACTGGTATGCCTATTTTCTCCATAGTTGTGTTAACTTGTTGCTTCTAACGTAGTTTTCTCTTGTACAAATGAATGTGTAGGCTTTAGTAATGTTCATTTAATCAATTATTTGACTTATTTTCACTCACTACTAGATTTTACTTCATAGTTCCAAGCGTTTTCATGCATTCTCAAATTCAAGGTCTTCTTGCTACTCTTTTTTGCTAATACAAAGACCCATCTCATTCATTTTACAGTGTATTTTGATGGACACCTTACTTCTATTAGCATTATGGTAGCATTTTTGTATTTAAGTGTTGACTATACTTTTACATGTTAGAATGTGTGTTAATGCACACTTTTTTTTTTTTTTTTTTTTTTGGTTGAATGTTAAGCTGTGTTAATGCACACTTGTTTGTTCATAAACCGTGGTTTTTCCATGTAGCAAGTATATTTGCCCTTAATAATATATAAATGCTTAATGTCACCACAATAACAGTTGAAACTTTTAAAGCTGTGGGTTCTTATGTGATATCAGAGAACACATTGACATTAACTTTTACTGCCTTCCTGATATTTGACCCACTCATGGTAGAAAGTCTATTTATGCGTAAATGGGCGATGTAGATGCTATAAAATTTTAAGTTAGACCATTGAGTTGTTGGGTCATTTGGTTGTCTAATATAATGCAGAACATGTAAGGTCCACTCATGGTAGAAAGTCTATTTATGCGTAAAGGACTTGTATCTTGTGCCTCCTTCAGCCAAATGGAATTGTTTCTCCAGCAGTTACCGTGCAGATCCCTTTGCTTCGGTAAATTCCTCAATTATGGCCAGTTTTCGCTGCTCAACCAAGAAGATTGTTGAGCTTTCTTTTGATAGTTTATTCATGCGCAACATTTACTCCAAATCCATGAATTTCACCAAAATCATAAGAATAGAGTCCCATGGGTTCCTTGCATAAGATACTTGCTGAAATGATGATTCCTTGCCCCTTCCCAGAATCCCTATACTGTGTTGGCCTTATCGCGAAGGTGCTGTTGATAATGGTTAAAGTTAATCAGCCTAATGTCATTGTTTTTTCCAGCAAAGTCATGATTTAATGTCATTGTTTTTTCCAGCAAGGTCTATTATGGATTACATCATTGTCTTGTTCAGTCTCTATTCATTCATATAAACATGTATATACAGAAACATTCAAATGGCTGTCACTTGTGGATGTCTCTATCAAGGAGCACCATGTCCCAGTCATCTTCTTTTCATTTATGAATAAGAGACTTGTGATGTGTTCTTCCTCAAGATTGTTCAGTAGGGTGGAACTACCCTATCAAGCAGTGGTTAGGTTTAGAAGGCCACTATGCAAGGAATTTGCAAGAACTATGCCTCTTCTGATGTTCTTTCTTAAGCTTTACCAAGAGGAGTCTATATCATCTCTTGTACCCTTTTATGCTATTGGGTCTCCACTTGTTAATCCAACAAGTGTGTCATCATTGAGAAAAAAAAAAAGAAAGATGTTACTCTTATCACCCAAATATCCAATCAGAAAACATTGCAATGGAACTCTGCAAGGTATGTGCCATAGTATTTAATTCCCTCATCATCAACTATCCATCGTCAAAAGCAATACATAAATTGACATATTTGCAACGAAAAATTAAAAGAAAATAGATCAAACACACACAATTATGCACATATTTTACGTGGTTCACCAAAAAATTAGACTTACGTTCACGGGTTGTAGGGATTACATTGTGTTTAGAGAAACTGTACAAATACAGATCCGTTCAGAATGAAATAAATACCTTTCACTAATACAACATTACAAGTCCAGAATATATTAAAATACTTCAAAAAATTCTACTATGGTGTACCGTACTTATCAGGTTCTATACTCCTCTGTTAATAATTTGTCATCAGAGCTAACAAAGCCAATCATATTTTGTCATCAGAGCAAACAAAGCCAACGGTTTGAGAAATATATAAATCTAACAGGGGAACTGGGTGGTGACGGTAGGTTTTGTGGGATTTGGGAAGGAGGAGGTTTTTGTAAAGAACTCAGTGGTGGACTATATAATTTTGGTACGTGATGAGTAGATATCAACCAACATAAGTTGTTTAGTTTAGCATGCAGAAGATACCATTTAAAATTCTAGTTCATGAAATATGCTGTAACTTCATAATTATTATGAGGGTGTCTTCGGTTATATGTAATTGGATCATTGGAATTGAAATTAGTGGAATTAGAGAAAAATAATAAAGAAAATTGCACAAATTTTTTTTTCAAATTCTATCAATTCCAAAACTCTAATTCCATGCAGTGGAACACATCATAAAAATAATTTTATTATTTATTTGAATATTTGTCAACATTTATACTTTGCTAGGTTAAACTTACAATGGAATGAGAAAAAATTGAGAGCGAAATAGATATTTTTGACCTGCTAATTAAAGCCAAAAATCTTGGCTAACAATGATGATAAAAGTTTTTATTTTTAATTGCATTTTATCATCTAGTTGGAGCTAGTGAGTTTGGTAATCTCAACCTTCCACTAGCTGCCAATAATAATAAAAAAAAAAAAAAAGTATATTAATCAATTAAAATGTTATGCGGAAAGAAACATAAGTACATTTTTATTAGGATAATGCTTAGTTATTCACCAATGAATAGGGTGAAAGTACTTACCTCTATGTGATCCAATAACAAAATAATACATCACTTTTAATAATAAAATAATTCACACTTAAAAACATTATATATATTTATTCGATGGTTGATCCGAGAAAATAGAGAAATTATTAAAGATAATATGTTATTTTGTTATTGAACCGTATAGGGGTGAGTAGTTGAGTAGCTTTCCCCTACTCACGGGTGAGTAGCTAATCATTGTCCTTTCTTTTATGTAAGCATTATGATTTTTTTTTTTTTTTCAAGCACTATGATTCGGTGTTTGTTACCACAAACACAATGCTACTAAATTAAGATAATTGTAAATTAACAAGCAAAAAGATAATCTTATTTTATTTACAATATCCAATACTAAGGATGACTTATTTTTTAATGAACAATGTTTGTCTTAAACCGTGTAAGAAAGAATCTCCTTCTTAAGATGAGGTGGCCAATAAAACATTAACAAGTGTTTAAGTTTTAAAAGAAAAAAAAATAATGACTATAATGAATAGAAACTGATTTTTCCTTCTTTTTCTCTCACGCAGCTATATATATTACTTTTGTGTTTTGAATCTAAACTCAAACAAACAAAATTTAAAGACAATAAAATCCAAACCTGCAAGTTGTTATTGGCTCCTATATCAAATTTCAATAACGTCTTTGAGATTCAGAAAAAGAAACAAAGAAAAAAATTATCAATTATACTTATAAATCTAATAGACAATTAGAGAACATCTAAATACAATATTTAATAGACAATTACAAAACATGTACAAAGATTGCCAGAGAAAGTAGAATAGACTATTGATGTTTTAGAGAGAGATACTTAACGATTAAAGATACCGAGTAAAGATAATTGAGTGACTTGTATGATTTTGAAGATCAAACGACTGATTAAAAATCAGTAAATTTTGTAAATTTATGATATGGTGATGTACGAAAATTAAAAAGGAACATTATTTGATTTTAGATTCAAAATACAAAAGTAATATATATAGCTGTGTGAGAGAAAGAGGAAATGATCAGTTTCTTTTCCCTTTCCCAGTAATCATTATTATTTTTTTTTTTCTTTTAAAACTTTAACACTTGTTGATGTTTTATTGGACCACTATAATGCTAGCATTAAAAGTTGAGTTCTATTATATGG